GGAACGAATCAAATGGTGGGGCAAGCGCTTTATTTTTGACAAATCTCCCAAAAAATACTTTCTTGGCCTGAACAAATTTGGATAAAATATCAGGAGAATATTTTTCAATCGGGAGACATTCACTATTTTTTTCCGAACATTGGTCTCAATCCACCCACAGTGACTGTGATCCACCCAACGTAGAGTTGGTTGTTGGGCTGTTCTAAAGCACAAGCACGCACGCTACGGACCGCATATATTATTGTACATCCTTCTCAACCATGTTTCTGTATCGAATGATCGTCTCTTGTTCGGGACCTACATTCACCTTCCGATCTGGTGAATTCTCCAGATTTGGCGATAATCTCCATTTCTGGGGAAGTGCATTGCTGTCAGTCTACCCTACCACAATTATTGTTCTGACCACAGACTCTCTATCAATAGGACTGTTGATACTAAGAGGCCGGACTGTGTTCTGACAAGTCTTACGGCGTCCAATCTTAAGATTCATGAACGGGTTTACGTTACCTGAATACCCTTTTGTTTGTCTTCGATGAATATGCCACCAGGAAATCCACTAAGTGCGAGTAATAATTCGTGCAACATCACGATATTCCAGTACAGACTTCCGCATTTAATTTATCTAGGACATATTTCAGTGATCTTAAAAATGGCGGCTGTTGTTCTGACCAATCACTGACTTGTTACAGGTCAGGTCGGGTCATCAGCACGCTGTGAGGTCAGCTCAACTTTACGCAGCGAACTTGTGATGGCAGCAAACGCGTTTCCCGGTATTTTCGTAAGCTGTAATCAAATGTTTTTATTTTCGTAATGATGTAATTTAAATAAATAAAAAAATGTAAACCCGTAGACATGGGTAAGGTGTAAAATGTAATAGGTTATTTTATTCGTCCGTAATTTGTACAAAGATATTATTTTTTGTAAGCGTATAAAGCACTTTTCAAATTAAATGTCGTAATTCGTACGCAATTTCCAATTTTGATTCTAAACTCAAATTGTCAAAAATATTATAAAAATGTAATTAGGAATTTGCTTTTTCTGTAAAGTGTAAGAACCTATTTTTTACTGTATATAAAATAGAATTTTTCATTTTATTTTCTGTAAAAACGTAAAATGCCGTTTTTATTTCCTGGTAACTTGTACCAGCTACCCCTTGCTCCCCCTCCTGTTTCATGTCGAAACTCTCAAAACAAAGTTGTCATCCCTTGTTCCTTCGTCTTTCCCTGTTACCACCCTACTACAGATACTTAGTTCATCCATAGACTATATATTGTCTAAGCTATATTACTCATCCCTGTTGAAATTATTCATTGTAGGAGTGTTTACTCTGTGCGAGTTCCACAAAAACAAAACAACAAACAAAGTAAAAGTAAAAATACCCAAAAGCCAAAACAATAGCATATTTTATTGAGATCCCAGTCGGTTTCCCTGGATTTTTTTTTGTTAGAGAGTGACATTTATTCACATACTAATACCCCGTTCAAGAAACTGAATAATGTTCATGGAAAATGACAACATTTGTTTTGCTTCATGATTTTTTATGGTGAAAGTACTTCATCATGTTCGGCTAAACCAACAATATTCTCGTTACGTATAAACCTTTAAACTGTTCGGCAAAAGAAATAAAATCTTCACTCTTCGCCTCCAGCTTTTTGGCCAAAATACGATTTTTTTTTTATCTGACCTTAAATACATGTACATGTATATATTTATTTTGATTCGTCGATTGGAAGTAAACATGTTCAAAACGTGCGTGGAACACATATTTAGGAAACCCGTATTACGCCTAAAACACGAGTGGTATGCATTTTAAATATGCACAAATGTACATACAATGTCGACCAAAAAAGATGTACACAAAGACGATTAGGCTGACATGTAGGCGTAGTAGCGCCCTCGCCGGCCGAACGGTATTGGGTTTGGAGCACCGCGGAGGGCGCAACTCATGCGACTCGTCAGGCTAAATGACGATGCGCAATGAATAACATCAGTGAAATAATTAACACAGAGCACAGACAAATAAACACGTGTCAAATATTAAATAAGAACAATTTATCCGCCATTGTAATGAAATATTACAAACTACAAAGGTTCGAAAAACTTTTTAAACACAAAAGGCTGAACTCTTTTCGTTTCAATTTCGATTAAATTGAAGTACCTTACAATTAAACATTTCAAAAAGGTCGAAATTCTCGCGCGTGTGCAGCTGGTGACCCCTCCGCTTTAAAGTGAAAATTAAACATTCATTTGTATTGGTTGTATTTATTGGTGTAACAAGTTGAACCGAAGCAAATATGAATCAGAATTTGATACACCGACAAAATCTCTCAACAAACATGCTGCTCGCTGATTGGTCTGTTATGGTAGCCAATCAACCACAGCCTGTATTTTGACGAAGTAATGATATCTATATACCCATAGTATAACTGTGCGACGCGACTCGATCTGACCCGACTTGACCCACACTGTACCCCATACAAACTGGGACACAATACATATGACGTCATTATGGGGGTTTCCCCTATTCCCTTCAATTTTGATACTGTGTCATGATTACATGAGAATATAACAACTTTGTTAACTTTCACAATGTCTTCAAGAATGTCTTCAGGTATTTATTTTACTCATTATCTAATTATAACGCTGGAACGCTGTTGTGTGTTTTCCGGAACAGTGTTTGTGATATAGACGACTGTCACAAAGTGTTTCCATTCTGACCCGTGGAATAGTCACAACGAAGTCGACACACAGTCGCTTGTTAATATCTCGACCAATGTAAGTTACGATTATAAACCTTGGAGATAGGTTTTATATTTCTAAGCTCTACGCAAATCACGGAGCTTCAGAAAGCCATTACGAGCGTTGTCCAAATAAACCATAACCTTACAAGTTCGCCATTTTAAATTCTTTATTTCTACAATATAAAAGACATTTCATAATCTTTCTCGCCATGTTTCGATTTTGTCGGCAATCTACTGATTCCCTTCAACTACCCCAGGGGTCACGGACCTCTGGTAAGTTTGTGTGCGCATTTTTCCCCACATAATGAAGTCATCTTGTAAATGGTTGTATTTCTTTATCCACGACATTTTTTTTTTCTTCCCAACCACTCTACCTTTTTTCAAATGGCATTTTCAACTTTGTGGTCATTCGAATATTGCAAAAGAGGGCGCGCTTCAGTCACCTATAAATTCAATACGCAATATGAGACTACACGATAATCAGACAATTGTTAATTCTTGGTATACCAATAAGATTTTATGGGATTAAAAATTAGTTCAGAATTTTTTTTATTGCATTAATATCCATTTTCTCTAATTTCAAACAGGTAGTTTTGAATATGATGTCAACTTGATCTATCACGAAACACATCTAGACTATGCACTTACATATTTCATGCCAGTGTTGGAACAAAGATGGCGTCTACGTGTTTGCGCCAAAGAGAGAGACCATTTACCAGGCTTACCCATAGCGAATAACATCATTCAAAGTGCTGAGGAGAGTCGTGTAAGTGTGATTCTATTTAGTAAACAGTTTATTGAAGATGGTGGTTGGAGTACGTATGAATCTTTGGTTGCACTGCAGAAGATGGTAACTGGTAGCGGAAGACACAGACATGCTGTTATTCCTGTATTTGTGTCTTCAAACGTAAAAGATTCCAATTTCAGGCCATTTGTTCATCTAAATATCACCGACAGTATGGAAAGACAGTACTTTTGGAAACGAATGAGAGATTCATTGAACATTTGTGACAGAGATGTTGACTTGAGTAAGTATTTTATTTCAAAATGGTTTAAAAATATCTTCAGGAGAACCAGATTCAACTCCCTGCATTAAAGTGGGAGTGTCGTCACCTGCGCACGCACGGGAATCCCAAGCGATGATAACAACACACGCTAAAAACGCAAAGGCTCATGGGTAGACGCTTGTTTGTAAACATTGACACGATACGACTGACGAATGCGCAGGTGACGACTCCCCGCTTTAAATGTAGCCCTAAGTTAACATTAATTACCCAACCGCTTCAACATAAATTTCATAAAGCAGAATAAAATATTGTTTTGAACTAATTTTTGTTCTTTTATCATTTTAGTTACGGTTCCTCCATTAGTTGAGGATTATTATGCAGCCCCGGGAGGCCCGTCAACTCATGGCTTACATCACCACATCGTAAGTCATCATCGTCCGAGTTCTCTTCCACTGCAAGAGTCTGGTGAACAGAATCAAGAGATTAGCTCATCGACTGGAGCTGTACAGCCCAATCATCAGGAGAGTTTAGTGGACGACATTATTACATGGGTTACTGCTGGAGTATTTGGCATATTTGTTGTAAAAGTTCTGTGTTGGATTATCACCCAACTATTTGGATTTTGAAACGTTTACTTAAAGAAGAACTAAAGAGAGTCTAATTTGGTTGTCTGTATTTCTTAAGTTATGTATAATGAATTATAAATTTGAAAAAAATATTATTATTATCTTCAGAGTTATGATGATTTTAATATGAGAAACAATATAAACTGTGCCATCTTGCCATAAAGGATCCTCCAATACAGAATAGGCTGCCACACCCTCTAGACAGTGGGATCCTTCAATACAGAATAGGTTGCCACACCCACTAGACAGTGGGATCCTTCCATACAGAATAGGCTGCCACACCCTCTAGACAGTGGGATCCTTCAATACAGAATAGGCTGCCACACCCTCTAGACAGTGGGATCCTTCAATACAGAATAGGCTGACACAGCCACTAGATAGTGGGATCCTTCCATACAGAATAGGCTGCCACAGCCACTAGATAGTGGGATCCTTCCATACAGAATAGGCTGCCACACCCACTAAACAGTGGGATCCTTCAATACAGAATAGGCTGCCACAGCCACTAGATAGTGGGATCCTTCAATACAGAATAGGCTGCCACACCCTCTAGACAGTGGGATCCTTCCATACAGAATAGGCTGCCACACCCTCTAGACAGTGGGATCCTTCAATACAGAATAGGCTGACACAGCCACTAGATAGTGGGATCCTTCCATACAGAATAGGCTGCCACACCCAAACTAAACAGTGGGATCCTTCAATACAGAATAGGCTGCCACAGCCAC